CGGATGTGCTGGATTTCTGGGTGCAGTGGGATTGTGATGCTTGGGTGGGAGATCTCCAGAGTCGCAAGCCGGCGTTGTGGTTACCGCCTGGTACAGTCTTGCCCGAGGAGGAGAAGGCTAAGGCGAGTAAAGGGGCGAGGAGGATAAGTGGTGGTGGGGAGACGGGAAAGAAGAAGAGTGACAAAGCTGAGAAGGCTGCTGAGAAGGCTGCTGAGAAAGCCGAGAAAGCTGCGGAGAAGGAAGCGGAGAAAGCTCAGAAGGCGGCCGAGAAGGCTGAAAAAGCGGCTGAGAAGGCTGCCAAGGCCGACAAGTCAGCAGACAAGGGCGAGAAGCCGGTTGAGAACACCATCACCGTGGCCAGCGAGGCCGACCAGGGCGAAATTGTTGTCGAGGTGTCGGCTGAAACAGCATCCGACAAGGACATCCCCGAAAAGAGTGTCCAGACCGAGCAGGCGGCCGACAAGCCTCCATCAAACAGGAGGAGGGAAAGCGACAACAGGGGCCTCAAAGCACTGGTCGAGGCAGCTAACACAGTTCAAGACCAGTTCGCTATCGAGGCTTTGAGCTCCTTGAAGAAACACAAGGCTACACCAGAGGAGGTGAGACAGCAACAGGAATCATCAGCGCAGACATCGGAAGCAGAAATGCCACCGCCGCCACCACCTGTTACGAAGACAGTTTCCAGGAGACCAACAAGAGCCCCGAGGCTTAGGGAGCCCAAGCTCAACCCCGAAGCGAAACGACCGGCGTCTGTACGCGATCATAAGAACAATGCGGCACACCTGGTTTGGAGGATCATGGGTAGTTTGGAGATCTTCCGGAATTTGGAGAAGGAAGCGGAGAGACCAGTAGTGCCTGAACCGGCCCCTGTGGAAACCCCGGTGCCCGTTCCTGTCATTGCTCCTGTTGAACCGACTGTTAAGGACAAGTCGAAGGGCAAGAGGAGAAAGGGCGCTGCTTCAACATCTGTCGATGAGAGTGACAAGTCAAAGGCGCCAGCAAGGAAACGGACCAAGACCACTGTGGAGAGCCAACCACCGGCAGCGGCCAGTGATACTGGTAACGATGGTCAAGATGAGGAGACACAGGCGGATGTGGAGGCGGATTCCATCACAGCAGCGGTTAAGACCCGCAAGCGGAAACGGAACGTCACTTGGAAGATGATTCGGGGTGTTGAGACACGCGTCTCCCTCGATGACAAGGGGACAGAGGTCGCTCTCCCACCACCACATCATCCTCATGCTACTGCGGTCCCGGTTACCATTCCTTTCAAGGCACCTTCGCGTCAGATTTCCAAGACTCCTCAAGTGCCACTACCTCCGGCTCCAGAACCGGCACCAGAACCAACACAGCAGCCACAAGAAACACAAATTCTACCACCAGCGCAGATACCCAAGAACCGAGCCTTACCGAAACCGAAACCACAAGCTCCTCGCAACCGGACTAACAGCGGCGCCAGCATACCACCACATACGGCGATTCATACGACTGCAATATTCACGCCCAAACCGCTCACAAACCTGGCTGCCGAAGTGGTTGACAAGTACGAAGGCGGCTTCGAAGAGACAGACCGCCTCATCGCTAGATACCATGAGCTTGCTTCTGGGTCGCAATCGTGCGCGTCGACTCGTCCTTCCAGCCCACAGCCAGCCCAAGACAAGACCAAGGAACATCAACTGCCGCCGCTGAACATGAGGAATTTCAGCAACCCCCAGACTACCGCGCCGAAACCGAAGGGAGGCAGGAAGAGGGCCAAGACCATGCCTGCTAATGGCTTGCTTAAGTTGCAAGTGTTGGAGCCCAAGTACGATACCGCCGGCCCGTTGTCAGAGAACGTGTTGAGTCCTAATGTTGGTAGCCCGCCGCTGGGTTTGAACGGACCGAGAGGTAGGATGGGCTCGGTGCAGCAGCAAGGACACAACGACCAGGAGAACCTACCGCCAGGACAAGAGCAACAGCAGCCAGTAGACCAAGGACATTGCCAGCAGCAACCGCAGGCTCCATCGAACGGTCTTCCGGTCGCCACAGGCCGCAACCCATTCTTTTACCACGACCCTCTCGCTTCGCAGTTGAGTTTCCCTCCTAGGTGGGGTGATCCTCCGCAGCAGCAACAACCTTCGTCTCAACCGCAGTACCAGCAAGGCCCTCCTCCTGTCCCGATGGATTACCCAAGTAGGAACTGGGATACCACCGCCCTCGACATGTTCTTCCGGCCTGACATGGAAACCACGGGCCGAAAGATGTCCGCGCCTGAACCTCAACAACAGGAACCGTCCCAGGAACAGCAGCAGACGACGGGGCTCGGCATCCAAGAACCTTCCCGCCCTCCCTCACCCACGTCCACATCCGCACCCCCGCCAGCACCCGTACCCGAGACCGAAACAGAGACAGACGACCCCTGGATCGAAGCCGCCCGCCGCGTCCGCCAACGACTACCCGTACCCATGGGAGGTGGAGGCTCAGGCTCGAGTGAGCTTGGCGCCGCCGCACTCGCTCAACTGGCGGTGCAAGGAGCCATGGCCCAGCCGGCCTCACCGTTCCATAGCCACACCATGTTGCCCGCTAAGGGCGTGCCGCCGAGGTATTACACCCCGTTTCAAGCGTGGCAGGTGCAGAGGTTGGAGGAGATTAGACAGCAGGGACCGCCGCCGCCGGGGATGGAGCATGGACAGCAGCACCCTGTTGGAGATCAGCCGGGTTCGGTACCAGGACCTGGGATGGTGGTTGGAGTGGCGCCGGGTCAAGGTGCTGGTCCGGGACAAGCCATGGCACAAGGAGCGCGACAGGGACAGTGGCCGCCGCCCGGTTGGTCAGCAGAGGAACAACTGAGGCAGGAGGCGGCTATGATGTTGAGTTCTATGCGAGGTGGCGCTTAGTCAAGATCAGTCTATGGTAGATTGGTGGGAGTTGTGGATGATGTTGTTGATGTGCTGATCAATCCTCAACGGAGTGACGATGGAAAACATAAACGGACGGGCAATTATCAACCGGAAGAGGATCGCATATTAGCATGATATGATATGGCTTATTGCTCATAGGTGTGTGAGAGTGTGGGGTATGATTATGGAGTGCGGATGAGGGAGCACGGATGAGGGAAAGAAGGAAGGAATACGGATGAGGGAAGTAAGGGAAAGAAAGCGTGTATAGATAGAAGTTTACCTAGCATATTAGCACATTAGCACATGGCCAGAGGGATGACTCTCTCGTGGTACAAGGCGTTTTAGCGGAGTTTGGAATTTTTGGGGAGCTACTACTAGCTTTGTGTAGACAATATATGTTAGAGAGAAGAAACATACCTAGATTAAACTCGAGGCAGCGTTGTCACCTTCCACCTTCAGAACCTTCATGAACTTCGTCTACATAGCATGAGTGACATCAATACCTAGTGACGACAGCCATGCTTGCTAACTGGTAGGTGAACCAAGCGTCTCCGAGTCTAACGACACAAGCAATCTCACGCTTCTCAACACAACACATCTCCAGCATTCCACAGACAGAGAACGTAGGAGGCTAGGTAACTAACTCAGTCACCCTCAACGGCTACCTAATTTATGACTCGAATATGATAAAAGCCGGAAAACGAATGGTGACTGGATTAAACATAGATATGCAAGTCATCAAACCTACCTCATCGGTTATATACCGCTACACCTGAATTATCACTGAACGGGCATAGATTAGCAGCTGCTCTGTGTTTTCTGTACACCTCAACCACAGATGTGGAGGCTACAAATGTTATTGAAAGTGTTATATAGCGTCATGAAGTGTACCGAAGGTTTACAAGTAGAGCTGGTGGTGGTGGCGTGTGTGGATATGATAGGGGGTTTGCGTTTACTGAGTAGGTAAGAGGTAGGAATATTCGAGATTATGGGCTAGGTAATTGAGTTAAGTGCACATTAGCCCTGAGTACTGAGGATTGAAACCTTCATAGACTAAGGTAGGTACCTATGGTGGAGGATGCTACAGTACGTTAGGTGAGATGGGGTTGAGTCTTCGTGGCGTATTATACTCGTCTATAAGGGCGGTCGTAGGCGTTGGGTGAATTCCATGGCGTGAAGACGTAGCAGGTACCTCTAGGTAATTTCCGAGTGTTAAGAGCCAGTAAACAGTTATTGAGCGAGGAACATCAACTGCGTGGGACATCGAGATCAGCATGATGGCCTCGGTTTGGGACATGTTTAGTTATCGTGCGGCTGCCGGCACTGGCAAGAAAGAAAACAATATCCGCTCAATGTTTGGTATGGTGGAGGCCTGCTACATTGTCAAGAATTTCCATATAGGGGTAGCATGCACTTGTTTCTATAAGCATTGAGGTAATTCATCTTGGGCAAACACAGGACAATAGGTAGACTGGGTCTTGAGTCACGGAGTGCTGTATGAGTAGGCGATGATTGAAAACTTTCGAAGTCTTGAATACTTGTCATGTATTTCCAGCAAGCAATTCTCTGGGGAAGGGGAGTTATAGAACTTCAGAAGGTAGAAAAAATGTGCAGAAGTAAAACTAATGCCATCTGAGGGATAACGTAACTCAGCCACTTGCTTGTTCTTCAAATTCTCGCGTCTCACTCCTACGTTAAAGTCTACTTACTTCTTCTCCTCCTCCATCAAGAACATAAGCCGCAGTATATCAGGATAAAGTAACAAGCAAACAGAGTTGCAGTAGTGTAATCTAGGAGGCAAGGATTCTCCGAGTGCCTACTGCCTGCTTGTTACGTTGTCCTCACTCAACAAACATCAGCGTGAACATAACGTTGTAACAACACCTCACCGAGGACGGATATCGCCATTACACAAACAACATAGTGGTACTCATACCATTAAGCACTCAAAGGGACCTAAACTATGTGTGGTCGATCCATCCGTTATCACTTTGGTCTCGCCGCGACTTCTTCACATACATCATCCTCCAGTGACCTCCACCAACGCGGAAAAAATGAAGAAAGATAAAAAAAAGCTCGAGTTTGAGTCTCTCCAAGATAAAAAAATGAGAAAAAAAGAATTGTGCAGTCTGGGATTCGAACCCAGGATCTTTCGCAGTCTCCAAGGCGGCAGCCGTTTAACCCACCACTTGTTAGGCGGCACCGAAGGCTGGGGGTGCTGACCAGTACCTTTTAGAGAGCGAACGCGTTGACCACTACGCCAACCGCACTTGCTTTTGTTGGAAGGAGGACATAAAATTCTGATACATATAGGGGAAGGACCTGGAAGGGGGTACGTACCCTCTATGATGGGACGGGCGTGACGTGGTTGGTTAACTCGAGGAGGAGGAACATGGAGACCCGCGGGAGCTTGCAGGTTGGTGAGAGTCGTGCCTTCCTTCTCTGACTACCTCTAGAGATGAGGACTGGTCTTGAGGGGTTCGTCACTTGATGTTCTCGCCGGGTACCTCTACAGGCGAAGTCCAGCGGGGAGGTACTGGTTGGATTGTCAGTGGACGTGCTTGAAGTTTCAGGATGGCTCCTAGCACTGGCATCATCGTTCTTGCCTTGTTGTTTCCCATTCACTTTACACATGATCTGCCCTCCCACCTGATCATTGACACGTACTATTGTTCGTTTGCCAGTGGTGTTACTTGCCTGTTCTTCACTGCCTGCTATTTTACTTCCATTCACATACACTCCCAGGTTTCCTTCCTGTGCCCCGCAACTCTCAAGTTGCCCGTCTTCAAACTGTCCTCAACTGACACTCTCTTTTTTTCTTCCTCTCCTCCTCCCGACAACGCAAAACCAAGCTCTCGTCCTCAAAAAATCTCGTCGGCATCACATCAAACTCGTTTCGCAACGAACTAGCAGTGTCAGAAGCAAATCTCAAACCAAGACGATAACCAACCTGGAAGCCAGCAGCAGCAACAACAGCAACAACAACAACAGCAACAACAGCAACAGCAACAGCAACAACAACAACAGCAACAACAACACCAGCAAAAATGGCCAACATGACCACAAACCCAAAGTGCCGCTGGATGTACGGCTGCACCAACTCTCTCTACCGGGGCCCCGACGGCAAAAGCGAGAACGTCTGGCTTTGCAAGCACCATTGGGAGCTGCACCTGAAGCAACTGTGAGTACCTAGTGTACCTTCTACGACCTCTTTCTATTTCCTTCCTGTACAGCTTTCAGTTTTGGTTTCGTGTAGCCGTTGTAGACTGGCTTTTGCTATTAGGTGCCGTCGCTAATCTTTTTTTTTTTTTTTTTGCTGCTTACTAGTAATTCGACGCAACCCAGACCCGGTCCCAGTCGTTTGCCTGGAAGCAGACCTTTGTTTGGTAGCGGTGGGGGGCAGGGGCAGGGAGGTAGTTCGACCTCGACCTAGAAGAGAGTGGACGGCAGGGGGAGGGGGAGGGGGGGTGGTGGTGGCCGTACGTCTTCCTCGACCTCGACCTAGAAGAAAGTGGACGGCAGGGGGGTGGCGGCGGCGGTTGTTTTTGGAGGACGCGGCGGTTTACGATTACATCTACAACGAGGTTGACAACCGGCCTTTTCTGCCAGACAGTTTCCCGTTAATGACAACATGTCTATTTTTGACCGCCAGCTTTATTTTCTGCTTGTAGAACGTCCACACCGGCTCGCACTGTTTCGTCGTTCCATTCCACCACCGTCGACCACATCCATTCCATGCCCATGTCGCGCAGACGTGTGTAAAGCTTGTCCGTCCGAAAGAAATAGGTGTAGTTGGCGACTGCTGGTTCTCGGAATTCTTGCTCCGCTTAGATAAGGTCTACGAGGAGCAGCAGGAGGAGTGGCCATTGCCCCTCCGCTCGAGGGGAGCATCTACATCAACTGGCGAAGTAGGAGAAAACAATAGGTGCTTGGGAGTTGGCGTTAGAGGACAGGCCCAAATAAGGTAGACATGGAAGTACAGAGGAGTAAAGACCAGGAGACACACATCCATATCTCTTCCACTTGTAAAACTGATGCAGGTAGACCGCAAACCATCGCTGATATTGAATCCAACAATCGAGCACCTTACCAACCAAAAGTCCAAGAGTTCCCGCCGGGCAATGAAAGCCCCCCATGTCCTCCTGCACCTAGACACGCAAGCAAGCCAAAGGCCCCAAAAGTCAAGCCTGATGTGTCCGCCCAAAAAGAGCCTGGCTTGTAAGATTTGGTTGGTTTCGAGATACTACGAAGCTGTAGCCATGTTTGTAGCTTTCTATCTTGTACTTCCAAGTCGAATACACCTTCGGCTTTGCCAAACAAGGTTCAGGGTTATGTCTCGGTGCTTGCTTTGTATGTGTGTAACTCTGGGACTTGAAAGAATGGCACTCCTTCTGATTTCGTGGACACTGCCTCGCTTTCTTGCTGCCATTGGCTATGGACTGTGACACCTCTGATTGTAAGTGTCATGACGACTTGTGTAAAGAGACACTTCCACTTATTCTTTTCGGTATTTCCTCCTCTGTAGTAGTGTTGCTCTTTCTTTCCTCAACCGGGTTCAGGAAAGTAACGGACGGGCTGTTCCTCTTCAATCTTCATTCACACATGCTCTATGTCGACCGGTCAGAAATTGGAAGGGCTTGGAGCTGTACTCGGGACACTCCCCCGTGCCTGTTGTCCAAGGTAGTTCTCGTGCCATCGAGAGCGTTGAGGGTTAGAAGAGAGCAAAAAAGCAGGTGTATTTGACAGACCCAGGACTGTGCCTAACATGTTTGGCTGCTGTGGTTCTACATGTAGTGTCAAGTGTCATTGAACCAGGCCGTAGAAGCAGGAGAAGTCGATGTTTTGTTATGAAAGACGGAGAAGCCTGCTGTCCGTCGTCTGTGTTTCTTGTCTTGACCAAGTACAAGGTAACAACCCGCACCCGGGTTCCTCAGCTCCAATGCCGCCTCCCTCGCTCTTTATGTAAAGCCAAATGTCTAACAGGTCATAACAGTCACTTTGCGTTCTCGCTCGTTCTTTCAAGCATGGAAATATGGGACTGTGCCTCCCACAATCTCTCGAGGTCTCCTTAGAACTGTGTAGTGGTTAGAAGAGAACCTTCCCCTGCTGGGGCAAAGGATGTCGTGGAAGGGAGAGGGAGAAGAGCAAAACGCAAGATCACTGAAGATTTTCTTCCCCACAACTGGCTTTCCTTCGCTCTGCGCAAGTGTCCCGCACCATTGACACTCTCTGTGCCCCACAAAAAAGTTGTGAGGGTAAGAGGCAAGCCGTCAACCTCCCCCATCACCGCCCTCAAACCCACGACAGCCTCACCAACCCCAACCACATCAAAACGGAGAGCAAAAATAACAAAAAGATAGAGAAAAATCCAACGAAAAAGATATGCGCGGTCCGGGACTCGAACCCGGGTCTTGCACTAGAGTCGTGTACTATGAGTAGTGCGGCGTCCCGCGAAATTGAATCCAGGGGGTGCCAAGCCCAACACTTAGTAGTGTTCACATTTCTTAGTGCACGCGTTGACCACTACGCCAACCACGCTTGGTACTTGCTTCGTTGGAAAAGGGAACCAAAGACCTAATACATATACCCCGAAGGACGGGAAGGAGGGGCGGGTCTGGGCCTGGGTCCTGGGTCCTGGGGACACTGGGGGACACTGGGAGGTACGTACCTCTTCCCGTCCTTGGTGGGGGAGACACTCTGAGGTCGGGACCGAGGAAGATACTCGGCTGATGCCTGAGGGGTTCTTGCTTTCGCTCTTTCCTTCAAGTTCATGAACTGCCTTCTTCGAGCGGTTGGTTGCGGCGAGGGCTGGAGTTGTAGGGCAGTGCCCACCCCGCGAGCACACCAGAGGAGGCCCTGTCTAGAATCTATTTAATGCTCCCATCCCCCGCGCCCTGACCGTCTTCTCTTCCTCATCATCTTCATCACTTCTCTCAACTTTACAACATTCATCCAACTTCACAACATCTTCAAACTTCCACCCCATACAAGGCCTTGCCAACTCTCTACCTCTACCTTCCGCTTCCTTCCACGGTTCCTCCCCAGGGGCAGCAACAGCAACAACAACAACAGTAGTTGTTTCGGGCAGGATCCCGCGTGGTGTATGTCTTTTCTCTTTTCCTTGTCCTCCTTGGCCTGTCCAAGTTGCAGTGTCCTCGTCTTCTACCATTTCCTTCGGTCGCGTCTCGAGTTTCTTTGCAACCCACACTCACTCTCACTCTGTGTCCAGCCTCCGCCGTGCCGTCTCCCAAGAAGCACACCACTTCGCGCATAACCGTGCCGCCAAACCTGGCGGCTCCGGTGACTTCTGTCACCTAGACTCGACCGAGAGGTGCTTCCTCTTCGCAGAAGCCCGCTAGCAAGCCCAAGACGACATTTCCAGATACAACCCGGACCGTGTTCCAGCTCGCGCACAGCCATCTTACACCTCCCCACAAGGAGAGGTACGTTTCTTGTCTATTTTTCTTCTTCCCATGCCTCCCTGCTTGCGCCCGCTCCACTGATCCCCAATGACCACGACAAAAGACTAACCCTTTGGGTCACCTTCTTCAGAACCCTACAGTCGGCCACCCAACCCTTCCCAGCCATAGCGGCGGGCCGACTTCGACGATCGGTCCTTCGGCCACTTCTTTGCCAGGGGAGTAGGTTATTGGAAAATGAAGGAGGAGGAGGGCAAGACAAAGAGCAAGGAGGAGGGGAAGAAGAAGGTCGAGGACAACACGGGCGAGGAGGAAGACGAGTACGGGAGGGAGCACAAGCGTCGCTTCAAACATGGAGAGGCGATGGCCAAGGTTTTGTCTTCGGACTTGCGGAAGAGGCATGTGGTGAAGCATTTTGTTGCGAAGATTGTCAAGGGGTTGTCTCGTTGAGCTGGGTAGACTCGTAGCTCGTCATGTTCACCGCTGCATCACAACGCGTGTCATCGCGTCCTGGCGGTTGTGCCTTGCGGTTGTACCTCTAGTTCTTGTGGTGGACACTTGTGACCCGGTTGAAGGTAGACAGTTCTTTGTTTGCAATCATTTCGAGAGTACACCAGGATTAACGAGCGCGAGTAGAAGAAATGGCATGATTTCATCCTCGTTGACATGATGCACCTGTCCATGCATGTATTCTAACTTGCGTCCTGCCCGCTGCACAATAACACTCCGGCTTCCACAATAACTACATGATGCATGATGCAATCCAATGTTTGTACATAGGGTGCGATGCCAACACCATGAAATTTCACGAGAGTGTTGCGAGCTGCTCAATTCCTCACACGAGGTTGCAT